CTGTGGGAAGTGCGGGAAGTCTCATCCTCTCTGTAGGCTTGCTGGTGGAAGAAGGCACGGCGTGCATTTTGAGGTAGATGTTCGGTGGCAGCAGAAGGATGGGGAGTTTCTCCAACCATACAGGATATGGAGGGCAATAGTTTTCCGAAAGTCACAAGTACTACTTCTATTGCCCACCTCTGGCTTTTGCTCATTTTCTTCCTTGCCAATTTCTTGCTCCCATTCCCTTCCCAATTGCTTGCTGTAGACCTGCATTTCAACTCCTTATCCCTTTGCTCTTTACATCCCCCTTCACACTGCTGCCTCTCCCATCTGATCCAAAGTCAGCATCCCTCCTGTCTGCCATCCTCTTGGCACGCATTGCTAAGCTCTCTCCCTCCTCCTTGGCTCTGTGGTGAAGCTGTGCCTTCTTGCTGCCACTGCCTGGTCTTCATTTTTTCCACCTCCCCTCAGTGTTTTAGCACTCTGCCTCTTCCCGAGCTTAAAGAGCATAGACAGGATCAGTTGTTTTAAAGGAGGGAATTTGGGAAAGTTACCAACCAAGCAAAGCAGTGAAGGGTGCAGTTTCCCTGCTTTGTGCTCCGTCCTCTGTCCTGCTGGGTAGAGCAGCCGCACCCTGGCAGCGGGTCGCTTCTGCCATACTGCGTCCTGCCCGGCTGCCGCCGGCTTCACCTGGAGACCCTGCTGAGTTCGCCGCCATCTTGGCCTCCTGAAGAGCCTTAAAATGTTTTGAAGATATCCTTCGGACAGCCCAGGGGAGCTGCCGTCACAACAGTAAACCATGCTGGTGACCTCCTGTTGGCGGGAAAGGGTGAGGTGAGGCAAAATATATGAGGTGAAGACAGGCGAGGGGCCGCACGTGGGCCTGGCTGGACCAGGGCCACTGGGGGGAAGCACAGCAGAAAAGGGCAAGAGAGGAGCTGTGCCGACGACCGCGGTCTCCTCTTTATTTGCTGACAGCTCCCCCATGGCGAGGCCTGTAGCTCCCCGATGCCATCCTCCGGTGGGAGGCTCTGTCAGCCCCGGGCGCAAGGCGGGCGGTGCGGGGACGCTGCCAGCCGGCGGAAGGGGTGAAACAGGGGCACGCACGGCTCTCGGTTGGATTGGGATGCCTTGAACATTGCTGGTATTTGGTCTTAAACTTTGAAAAATATATTTGATGTGAAACTTCAGAATTGCATGAAAGAAGTGTGCTAATTATGGTAGGTACAGTTTTAGCATAAAGGGATTATTTCACACTATACTTACAGAAACAATTGCCTAACTCTACCTCACCTGATTTCCTTAAAATTCTCCCACTGAGAGGTTTTATTTTCTTCCTCTGAGGATTTTCTTACCCAAAGGTGAAATGTTTCAGGCAGGTGTTTCTGAGGAGCATTAACTTCTAGTGGCCTTGAGGTGAGCTGAGGCTTTTGGTACCCACAGGTACACCCAGCCTCCAGGAAACGCTCCTCCGGGGGTTTTGTTTCATTATTATTATTTATGTTCTGTTGTTTCGAAGAGAAAAGTGTGGTAAGGACTAACTGAAGGTATTAATCATGAACTGCTAGCAAGCAAACAGCACTGCCTTTCACAGTTACAGATCATCGCAGCTGAGTGCCAAGGATGCTGTACGCATAGAAAAAGATTGACAAACGTGGGTAGAAAGCCCATGATTGTCAACGCGGAATAGAAGTTGCAAGTGTCGATCTTACATCTTTGTGGAGAATTTTTTTGAATTGTTGCTGTCTATTTTAAGCTGTGAGTTGCTGAACTACACTAATGTAAGCATCAGTGTTTGGGAATAAAGAGGGAAATGAGTGTTTCCAATGGGCCTAAGCAGTGGAAACAGTTGAGTGGAATAAAGTTGCTCCTGTAAACAGACATAATCAAAATAGCGTAGGCTGCATTTTGTAGGTTTTATCATATTCCCAATAAATGGCTTTGGCTAAAAGTAATTATTCGCCCCAGAGGAATAGGTGGAGAGCTACCAGCCGATGGTGGGCCTTGTTTTTATGGAGTCGGTAGATATTCACATTCCTGGAACCCTCCTGTCAGCCGTAGCCAGCATGGGAGTGATGTGGAGCAGCACCAAAACTTTAGTCACCAAGGGCGTTAACTGCAGATCTGTTGGCTCTTAAACTCTTTTAAGTTCCCTTTTGCACAGGCTCACAGCTACTTTTCAGTAGGAGACAAAAAATTTGTGGATTGTACAACAGAGCGTGTGGAGGCAAAAGAGAGAAGCACAAAGCTACCTTATTTAATAGCTACTGCATCAGCTAATGTGAACTGTTACTGGATTTTCTTTCTAACAGGGGACTGTATTGAAACTCTGATAAATTTGCCATTCAGATACTAGCTGCTTAAATAGTCTCATTTTGATTGCACCAAACTCTGGAAATAAAGATTGGAAACATTTACTTTCCGTTTGACTTCTGAAGGTACAGTAGTAGAGCTAATGTTGAAAGTGCTCTCGTAAAACCCTATGCAGAGATGCTAAAAGAATCATGATTGCAAGCTTCTCATTCAAACCATCCTCTGAAGCTAAGTAGACTAACTTACTTTTCTGATGCTGCTTGTGATACAATATTTAAATTGCACTAAGTTTGCTCTTCGTATCATTTTTTGCATGGGATGCTTTATCAGACAACTTGCCTTTCAAAGTCCTTTCATGCACCTTTTAAACCCAGGGACAGTGTTTTTGTTTGTTTGTCTGCCCAAATCAGAGACTGATAATATGGCTACTTCTTTCAGCATAAATTGGGCAAAGATTTTGAGAGAAGACAGTTTGCCTCTTGCCTCACTGGAACTCCCCTAGATTGTTGAAAGAAAAACATATTTACAGCTCAATCACGGGAGAAAGATGGCAGCTTTTTTGAAAGTGTGTTTCAGAGCATGTAAGTTAGATTCCTGCTCTGAATCATGCTCTCTGTCAGTCTTCATTGAGCTCATCTCTCTTCATCGAGTACAGAGTCAAAGTCTGGCCCTCCCAGTTGAGGCAGCTCTGTTAGATCCATGAGGTTAATCAGTGGAAATACCCCCTTTACAGGGCTGTTTTCTGAGCAAAACTTGTCTTTCTCAAAGAAGTTCTGCAGTCTGGAATGATTTTTCATATGGCCCATTTGGCAAGCTTTTATTTTGCCTTGTGAAGTAGAGACAGAAGTGTCAGTTCGACTCAGGCCCATGCTGCCTTCCTCAGATTCTGCAGCGCTGAAGACAGATCCAGGCCATCTTGGTTCTGGTGTCTCTCCTGTTCAGACTGAGTGACAAATCACATCTCTCTCAGTAAACTTGCTTTTCTTTCGCTGTGCAGAATCCCCATCATTTAAAAAAGTT